ATCATTCATTTTCTCTTGGAAGTAAATGTCTCTTAACACTTATTGATGTCCTGTGGGTCATCCAGTTGTGTGGCTTTGAAGAGAAGGAAGAGCCAGTACTCCAGCAGTAGAATTCAGCTATAGACTAGAGCTAAAGTTGCAGTCTTATCTCTCTAGTTTTAGTAGCAAAATAAAGTGGTACATTTCAGCATTTAGTTTATGAGTGCGGAACCATTTTCATTGCAGATGCATCAAACTGCAGTTTGGAGGAGAGGCAGCACAAGCAGAAGCCTGGGCCTGGCTTGCAGCCAATCAGCTCTCATCTGTCATCACTACTAAGGAATCTAGGTACAGCCCTAGGGTTAATCCAGCCCTGGGTAGTTTTACCTGTCTCAATGCTATAGCTCTCTTTCTTTGATTAAATTGTCCTGCACAGATCATTTCACTTTTTTCTTTCTTTTTTGGCTAAGTTGTTGTAAAAGCTGAGAAGTTTATAATTAGGGTGACATCATGCCCATTTATTCTCCAAACCAGTATGCCTTTGCCAATGAAATGTTTCCTTCTCCATATCCCCCTCCTCAAAGACTTACTGTATTTTATATCATTAAGAAAATGTTCTTTTACAGGCAAAAGTCCACATTTACGTGGTTTGAGAGTGTGATGTTCCTTTGTTCCCCATTTCTTCCATTGAGCTGTCACTACATGGTTGTCATCACAGTGTCTTCTTATAGCTTGTCTCCAGCTACTATTTAGCAGTTTGTCACCACCAACCCCTATTGTCCACCAAATTTTCTTCACATCTCCTCTCTGCATGTACTTACCTAATGTAGACACTTAGTGTCTGCCTGAATGTACTTCTGCTTCTTCAGAATCCTTCTCTGACATCCCAAACCCTCAGTAAACTTCCCTTCCTAAACTGCTTTTACAGTTTATACCATGCAACTTATCACTTTGGAATGGTAGCATTTTCATTTTAGAATTTGGAAGACCTCTGACATTAGTTTTCAATGCCTAAATTAATAATATATCAGAATCACTTACTAAAATGCAGATTATGAAACATCACCCTGTTCTTCTAAGTCAGAACTTCTACATGATTCTAATGCTTGATGAGGTTTGGGAACCTGTGATCTGAGCCAGTTTCCTTGTTTTAGAAATCCAGGAACAGGCTGGGCACAGTGGCTCATGCCTATAATACCAGCACTTTAGGAGGCCAAAGAAGGAGGATTGCTTGAGCCCAAGAGTTCTAGACTGGCCTGGGCAACATAGCAAGACCCCAGCTCTTCAAAAAAATACAAACATTTAAAAAATAACAACAACAACAACAAAAACCCAGAAACAAAGAAGTTAAATGAATTGTATAGTCAAATAAATATGTGGTTCGTGGGAGAGAATTTAAGAATCTACGTTGTCTAGTTTCTAGTACTATCCCCTAAGTCACATTGATCATAATAACATTAGTTACCATTTAGCTGTATTACCAATTCATTTGTGAGCTTCTACAGGTTTTTTTTTCTTTCAACCCCTTGGTCAATTCGCATTCTAAAGATTTTTTTCCTTATAAATACCTACTTTGAATGGTACTCTATTAATAATCTGAAACTTATTGGTCATTTTTGCTTTTTTCAAGTGCTACAGATGAAGCATGGCGACTATTATCAACTTACCTGGAAAGATACAAAGTTCAGAATAACTTGTATCACCACTGTGTAATCAACAAGCTCTTGTCTCATGGAGTGCCTCTGCCTAATTGGCTTATAAACAGTTACAAGGTAAGTGGATCTTGTAGAGATTGAGAACCCTCTCTCATTCTGATTGTGAGATGATTAAAAAGAAAAGGATGGAGTAATAACTTATGGGAATATATCGACTTATGTACTTTGGGAAGTTTTTCATTCATTGTTAAAAGCACTAAAAACAATTTAATTTCAATTCCACATGTAGTACTGGGTATTTGGATTTGAAGTTCCATAAGTTAGTAATTAAGTTAATGGCTGCTTGTGTGCTGGCTAAACAATGAGTTAATATTTAGAACAATGAGTATATGCATAACATAGTATTATATTTACTATCCATAACTCAAAAAATTCACAGGAATGGACAGAATAGTTTTCAAATAATATAATAGCATGGCTGGTCCAAGTGCAGTGGTATCTATAACAAATTGGTCATAACCAGTTATAGATTTCTTTGTTCCTTCTCCACTCCCACTGCTTCACTTGACTATTAAAGGGGGGAAAAATGGGTCCTTGGGCTGTCTGTATCAGCATTATTTGGGCGGTGGGCTTCTTCAAAATACAGATTTCTGAGCCCCATCCAAGACTTACAGAATCAAATTATCTGGGGCTGAGGGGCAGGAATGTACATTTTAACAAGCTCCTAATTTGATTTTGATGCAGGCTGAACTTTGAGAACTACTCTGACACCTTGGATAGAATAAGAAAAGAGAAAATCTAAATGTTAAAAATCAGGAAAGATGGCAGAGCAATTTAGCTGGCGTCTGTAATCCTGGCACTTTGGAAGGCTAAGGCAGGAGGATTGCTTGAGGTCAGCAGTTTGAAACCAGCATGAACAAGAGCAAGACCCCATCTCTACAAAAAACAGAAAAATTAGCCACGTGTGGTGACATGCACCTGTAGTCCCAGCTACTTGGGAGGCTTAGGCAGGAGGATCACTTGAGCCCAGGAGTTTGAGGTTGCTGTGAGCTAGGCTGATGCCACTCTACTCTATCCCAGGCAACAGAGCAAGACCATCTCAAAAAAAAAAAAAATTAGAAAAGTTAATATATTTCTTTAAGTTAGGAAGTAGAGAAGGCAACTAAGGTGGTAAGATAAGATTGTAATCAAATCAGAATATTTTAACAGCATATTTAACATAATTAATAGAGCTCTTCCAAACCAAGGCTATATTCACATTTAAAATTGGTGATTCTTTGAACTCCTTTTCCATTTGTCATTCATATATTTTTGAGAATTAATGAGACTGTATTGCTACTGTAGTACTCAACATTTGTTAACTTTACAATTGTGGAAGCTGAAGTAGAAAGAAGTTAAAATATGTCTTCTTAGATTATAAAACAGGGGAGGAAGATCATTTAACAGAGCCTCACAAGTCCAGAAGTAGCTGGGCTATTGGGAATTCAACTCTCATCCTAAGATATAGATGAGTAAACCAAGGCACTCATTTATTTATATTGAGAAATGTAAATGCCAAGGAATCAGACATCCAACATTCTTTAGTCAGCATCCAGGTAAGAAGGAAATAGGTCTATATTCCTAATCATTTACTTTTTACAGAAAGTTGATGCCGCTGAGTTGCTTCGTCTGTACTTAAACTATGACCTTTTAGAAGAAGCTGTGGATTTGGTGTCAGAATATGTGGATGCTGTACTGGGGAAGGGACATCAGTACTTTGGAATTGAGGTAGGCATGCATAGGTGGTCCTCGATTTACAATGATCTGACTTAATTTTTCAACTTTACAATGGTTCAAAAGTGATAAGCATTCAGTAGAAACCATGCTTCCAGTACCCATGCAACATTCTATTTTCCACTGTCAGTACAGTATTCAGTAAATTACATGAGATATACAACACT